GAGTGACGGAGGTTCTCCGGCTTCAGGCCAAGCATGTCGATCTCGCTTTTGGGCGTGTGCAAGTTGGGGAGCTGAAGAAGCAAGAGAAGATCTTGAAACCGCTCACAGACACAGCGAAGACCTTCTTCACACAATTGCGAGACAACGCTGGTCACTCTGAGCAGAGGACCCGCCGTTTTGGGAGCCGAGGGTACGTCACCTATCAAGACTCATGGAGTTGGCCAACAGATCCCGAGGCATTCCTCTTCCCCGCGACACGGAAAGATGCTGTTGCAAAGCACATGAACAAGGACCATAGACGGTTGTAGCTAAGTCTTAAGTCTTGTAGTCTGTGAGTAAACTTGAGACTGCTATCTCGATAACCAGGACACCGCATCAGCAGCTATCAGAAGGGCACGAGCATCGTTTGTCCCGCCTGCTGGCACGGACGTGAAAATAAGCAGTATACGGAGTCATTCCAGTCGGCAACGTGCCATCAACGATTTGAAGGTGACGGGTGTCAGCACTCCCATCGGTAAGCGATTTGCCAGAATCGTGAGCGATCGAGTTTGGGAAGGCTATGGTCAACTCACAACAGACCAGGTGGATGCAGGCCTGAAACAAGCTACAGCTTTTCAGCAGCTCCAAAACCAGATCTACTACGATGCTTGATGATGCTCAGTGCTCGGCCAGATGCTCGCTACCTCGCCGGTCTTTGTCATTCGAATAGCCTGATGGTGAGGAGCAGGATGATTTTCTATTAATTAATATGATGATGCCCGGTTGAGTGATGACTGGTTTGCTTCGTGCTCCTGCCATCAGCGCCAAATTTTTCCATCGAGTGCATTGAACACATGTAGCACGCTACCCAAACGCATTTAACTTCTGATTCTCCAGAGATACTCATAGCAACTGCTACTGTTCTGAATGCACCCTAACCGAAATTGGCTGCAAACAGCCCTGTGCGAGCATGCTTGCACAGTTAACGAGCAGACTCAGACCCTTGCCATCGGCGCGAGGTGCTGGGCTTTTTTACATGATCATTGACTGAAGTGCACTCAGCCCGTAGTCCTTGACAGTGCTGTTAAAGAAGTTGTTGTTACGTTGATGTCGTCGTTGGTGTGGTTGTCGTTGTTGTTGTCACCCACCCTGCGGCCCAGGCGAAGGACAAAAACCGGCGAGACGGAGAGGACCTGACCTCGGATCGGCGGGCTTTAATTTATTTGACTTATCAGGCTGCGTAGGGTTTAAAATAGGGTGCCGGGGGTTGGGTGTCGGTTTGGAGGGTTTAAATCTCGGGGGATTGACCAGTCAGTGGCATAAAGTACACGTTTTAGAGTTGGCAATTGGGCTTATGTAGGGTCTGGCTTTAGGATTGGGGTGGGATTGATCTTCAAGCAAACACATGTTGTAGGTTTCGGGCAAACGGGTTCAGCACTGGGTTTGGGGGCAGTGATAAAGCTGCAGGGCCTCAGATTGGGTTGGGATGGACCTTGAAGTGTCTGGCAGCAGCTTGAAATTTCAGTTCTTGGGCTGTAGGCTGTAGGATTTAGGTTCGGGATTGGGGTTGGATTGATACTCACTGTCGGTTCGGCAAAAATAAAGAATGAATGACAGGTTTTAAGCTTCGAGCTGCAGGGCATAGAAATTAGGGTGGGCGCAAAGATATGTTTGGGAATTGGTCAGGGGTTGATCCTCAAGGTTTTAGCCACGTATTAGTATTCTTTCGGGGGAGGTTTAAAATAGACGGTGGGATGGGTTTCAAGGTTTTGGCAAAACCTTTCGGGCTGGAGAACTCAGACTGGTGATTGACATCTTTCATCTTTCTCTGTGCCTTGCGCTGCAGTGCCGAAAATAAGGAAGTGCCAGAAGTAAGGCTACGGGCGGGCTGTCAAAATGTGAGATCTTCGCGGCCCCAAAAGATTATCGCATACTTTCTAGGCTACTCTAGTCTAGTTTATTAGAGCAGGATCAGATCCTGCGGGCCCATCGATCACACCACAGTCCGGTTGTCATGTCAGAATGTTCATGTCCTCAGAGCAATCGCATCACCCGGTCGGCTGCTAGCTCCATGTCCTGGTCCAGGAAGTAGAGTGGCTTGCCTCAGCAGATCAAGCTATGATACCAAACACATCCATATCCAAAACGCTTATTTTGGCTGAGTTTCGAGGCGAGACTTCCTTAGATGCGGGTTGGCTGATCACGGACTCGCGTTAAATCCCTCACTCATTGAATCACCTTCGATCCCAGCATCGTTTCGCTCAGGCGCCATGCTGACGCGCCAGAGCATGTGCAAAGCCCGGGACGCCAGGAGCACCTCAGAACCGGGCGTTACGGGAGAACCCCTAACCCTGCAACCCCCCTAGCCCTAACCTTGTATCCTGGACCCAAACTCAAACCCAAACCCAATGCCAGGCTACTAACCTGAAGAGTTCTAGAATTATGCAATATTGAACATGTGCCTTCGACGTTTACTGCAGGTTTCGGGGGATCTAACTTGGGGGGCTTCCAGCTGAGCTGAAGTTGAGTGTTATGCCAGGTTCCCGATGTTTAGATAAATAGTTCGATCACCACCGAAATCAAGCCAACCATCTCAGGGCGGCACTGAATTCGAAAGTAAATAAGGTAACTAATTCCCGTGGTGGTTACATTCGTTCAGTATTGACATCAGGGGGTTTATGAGTCGAAGGTTAAGAACTAGGGTAGTGTTATTCGCAATCCAAACGACCTTGCTTGGGAAGGCAGAGGCCACACTCGTGTACTTCTGACCTCCAATCGCCGTCCTTGCCACCATCGTGTACTGATAATAGAGCGGTGAGGCCTTGGGTGTGATCTCGAAGCGGTCGTCACCTTAGATCAATCCAATAACGAATGTGCTACAACAAGTGGTTGTTTTGTCAGAAAAACTGTTAGAATTGTGTTTTGGTTGGTGCATTACTAACTTAGTAATGCACCAACCAAAACACAATTCTAACAGTTTTTCTGTCAAAACAACCAATTGTTTAATCTTGTCGCCATTGCATTCCCACGGTCAGTGCCGTTCACATTTCAACATATTCGCGACTATGACCATAACTACGAAGAGGATCGGGGCTACATGCACAATCCTGCCTAGGATGGTGATGCACAGGTCTGCATTTCACGCACATGCTGTCCCATGTGTTAACATGAACATGTAGCGTCAGCTGAAGCAGTTACTAAATCAGTACTTTAGAACTAGATTGAAGCTCAAAAGCTGAATGTGTGAAACCCGTGAACAACGGAACATCATCACCCACACCACCGAGATGGGTCATCCTAAATAACAAGTCTAGTTGTCCTAAAGCTTAGACCCTAAATAGGCATTCTCGTCACGTAGATCGACGAATGGGGAAGCCCCAAATTTGGCAAAAAACCCAACAGCCAAACTCCCCGAGCCGTGAACCCCTAGACCTTAAACTTTACACACTAAACTTTCCTGAGGTCGAACCGAGCTGCCTTCGGATGTCGCAGAAGGCCGGACGCATGTGTGACCGTTCAAACTGGAATCCACGAGGCCAGCTTCTTCGAGCTCGAGAAGCATTTGTCTCAATGAACAGGGCTCGGAGTCGCTTGCTCGAGCGTTCACATTCACTTCCATCACCACACGATCTGAGTCGTCGTGCCATGCGCATTTGAGCATGTTTGCCACGTCGCCTGAGTGGGCACTCGGCTAACAGACTGACATGCATGACCTGCTGCCAGCACCCTGTGACAGGTTCGCGGATTTATTCAAGCAGTTGCACGAGGCCAGCTGGTGACGGGAATCCGAGGAGCTGCAGTTTCTCTGCAACAAATTTGACATTCCATCTAAGCTTCAAAATCATGCCGACGGTAGTCGGCTTTCAAGAGCCAACACAATCCCCTAGCTTGATTGCGTCGTTGGCAAAATGTGCCCTCACTCACAGCCGGCGCTTGGAACGCTGGCTTTGGCTCATGTTGTTGATCCAATTTCGGCGCACGTCGCTATTCTGCCACCTGAGGAATTGGGTCCAGTTGTTGGTCACGGTTGGAGGTTTCGGTTTGGGATGATGGTGCTAGGACTCTGGGGCTTGGGAGCTTCGGTGTTCTCGGCTTTCGGGTTTCAAGTTTGAGGGTTTAAGTTTTAGGGGTTCGCATAATGAGACCCGAACCCCATATGCCCCAACTTCAAAAAGCAATGCCAGCTACTTCATCGGATGACAGTGTGTTCATGCCTATTCTCTAAACCACAGACTCGTGTGTCCTCCATTGTGCACCGAAGACCCATTACTTTCAACTTCAACAATCAAGATGTCTTCATATAGAGTTATAGCAAGAGTAAGATGTTTCTCGATTAAGACGTTGTTGGGATTGTTTCGTACTATTCGGGCAAGGTTATTCAGTTCTTTAATGGGTTCAATACTCGTCCGCCCTTTAATGCATCCCGGGTGCTCCTCACGAGCAAGCTTCCTAATCTCCTTGATGTTCTTGTCCGGGTGCTCTGCTGTTAGGCGAGCCGTAGCAGCATGGATAGCCTTGTGATACTCGCTGAGCATATTCGCACCTAGCTTGCCAGTTGGCTCCGGCTCCGTGGCTTCATCGCCCTCGCTGGGCTCCTGGAGTGATTTGGAGTAAGGCTCATGTCATTTATTTCCCAAGATCGAAACCCTAAGCCCCAAATCCTTAAACCACAAGTCCTTAAGCACTTGCACTTTAAAACTCCTAAAACGGAAACACCAAAACCCTAAACTACTGAACCCGTAACCCCGAAACCCTAAAACCCAAAACCTGTAAACCCCAAACCCCTAAACCAATAAGGTTATTCCATAGAGAACTAACTCGCTTAAGGCTGAGGGTGTAACGGGCTTTACATGGAATCGTCAATTCAATACTTGGTTGAGTGTTTCGTACAAGGAACAGGGCTTCAATGATTAGATGTTGAATCGAACCGCAGGCTATCTAATATTATTGAATTTGAACTTAACTGAATAAGACTGTGCACATTATGTACTTGCCCAATTCACCCTCTTATGCATGGCCCTTCACTTCTCCTTCGCTTTGCCCTTTGCCTTGGCTTTGGCTTTGGTTTTCGCGCCGGCCTGGCCCTTCGCCTTGGCCTTCGCCTTGGTCTTGGGGGCGGGTTTCTTGTCGTCTGTCTCCTCTGTGTCCTTCTCATCCTTGGCCGTTTCCTTGGCTTTGGCCTTCTTCTTTGCCTCCTTCTTCTCATCTTTGTTGATGTCTTCGTCACTGTCCAACAAGCCCTCGCCAAGGGCGTCCACCTCGTCTAGGTCCTCCTCCTCCTCGCCCTCCCCCTCGATGTGGTGCTCCTCTGACTCTGCCTTGGCCTTTTTGGCCTTCTTGCTTTTCGGGCCCTTCTTCTTCGGGTCATTCTTGCCCTCGTTTTTCGCCTTTGCCCAGCTCTGAGCTGCACTCAGACCTGTGGCCTTTGCCTTGCTGTCACCACTGTCCTTCTTGAGCTTGTCTTTTGCCTTGCTGTCACCACCGTCCTTCTTGAGCTTTTCTTTGGTCTGCTTCATGGCAACAGCCAAGCTCTGTGCCAGCTCAGATCGCTTCTCCCTCTGCATTGGGTCGGTCCTATCTTCTGATTGCATTGGCAGCGGCGATGGTCTGGCCGTCGTTGGTGAAGCTGCGGCTGTGGCCTGCACACCAATTCAGTCTCAAACGTCCAAGGTCATATCACCATAGTATCACAGTGTGCTTATGCAACATCACGGGGTGGCGGCTTCAATTCTTGGGTCCCGACGGAGGCCGAGTCATTGAGCGGGCTGGCGGTGTGGGTTCGCGTCGTAGGCGGTGGAGGTGTAATCGCAGCCGACGGGGAATCTTGGAGCATCATGTGCAGATCCTATCGGGATGCATGATAATTAGCAGTACGAACAATACCCGAATGTGACTCTCCCGTCCTGTCCTGATTGAACCCATGCTTCGCCAGCAGCTGACTCAGCGCCATTGGCAGCTTTACTACCGCTTTCTGGTCCAAAACCTCTAAGACTAACTAAGCTACGAGAGGCACGCTGGATCGCAGGAGCGTTTCAAGGCATCTCACACTATGCTTGTACGTGCAGGCACACACTAAGAATTGAATGCTAGTGATAATAGCTCGCCTGGGGTCTCGCGAATGAGCTTCGTTGCCTTTGCTTCCTTAAGAAAGGTGGATCGGCCATGACTGATGAGGAACTCGACTTCGAAACGGACACCGCGTTGTGAGCCACCTTAGGTAGACCCGAACATAAGTAAAAGTTACCAAAAGAAAAACAGGAAGCTCAAACCGCCTAAAATCGAGACCCTAAACCCTATAAAGTCTACTAGTATACTTAACCCAGGGAAGCTACAAGGAACATCTTCATGTCCTGGCCCTCCTCGACCTCCGAGAGATTCCCGCCTCGATCAGTGGCTTTGACAATGAACAGGGATGCCCCAGGTGTTCTTGATGCGATTTTGAACTCGATGTCGTAGGTAGAGCAAAGGGCATCCAGAGTCGTTGGCTCACTGGACCATCCTGGCTTCGAGGTCCCAGCAGCAGCTGGCGCAGCCGAGGCTTCGGTCGCGGCAGGCGTGTTGGTGCCAAACCTTAACTTATCAGGCTCATCATCATGGTACGGCTTCGGACCTACGCGAATAAATTCATATTCAGTTTCAGGGTTGCCCAATACTATTGATGTGTTACAAATAAATGTTAAGAAATCTATTCTAGTATTTTGGTAGATGAAGTAGCACTTGGAATCCTTCGTCTTTTCAATCTTAACTGGCATGATGCCGAACCTCTTGTCAGTATCTCCCTGTGCTGAGATACTAAGTAACTAGCAAATCAGGTATGATGATTGGCCATAGGCCATATGTCACATACATCTGTATGTATGTATGTATTTATGTATGTATGTACGTTTACATAGATTTGTTGATTAAGTAAGGGGGTGAAGCTATGGGAAATAGTCTAGGATCTGTAGGGTTTAGGATTATGAGGTTTGCTAGAGGTTGGGGGATTAGGTATATCCGTAAGCAGGCCGAGGGGCTGCGAATCGAAAGCCGCCACGAGTTCCAACCATTCCTGGCTTCGCAAGGGATCTGCGGCGTATTTCGTCCGAATCTCCGTAGGCAGGGCAAGTCGAAGCTTCTCCAAGCTTCGCTTGCTGTTGTCCAGGGTGCAGGTCACCATCTTCAAGGGGAAGTCTCTGAGGTCGAAGTCCGTTGTGGGTTCCACTGGGTTTTTCTCGTACTTCTTGTAGCCGGGCTCCGAGTGGAGCATCTTGTGATCATTCTTCCAGTCCTAAGTCAAACGTCATGGTGAAATCAGGATGGTCGTATGTTATGTTCTCGATTTACTCACACGACAGTCCTCCATGAGCGACAGGGCGAGCACCGATTGGGAGTACTGCATGATGGCAGGGTCTTGCCCGACTGATAAGCAGGAAATGCGAGGACGCTCGTCTTCCCCCAGATGATAGCGGAGCATTGCCTTTTCGAAATGCCCGTCGTAAGGGGTGATGTTGATCACCCTGACCAAGCGGCTGGCTTTGACTGCTGGCAAAAGGGCCTGGTTCGCGCCGGTGAGGCAGGCGCTCATCACAGACACAGGGAATTCACCTCCTGCCAGGAGTTGCGCCGCCTCCTGGACGTCAGAGAACGCCCTGCAGGGGTTAGTGTTATGAGCCCTCCCACCAAACATAAATTTAATCACAAGCTTGACTTGAGCAAGTGACCGTCCCGTGCCTGGCATCTCCAGCAGTAGACGGAGTGCCATCCTTCGCCCCATTCGGCACAACGTAGAGGCGTTCAGGCGCCCAGGGTATGGGCTCCCTGGTCCCCCTGACATCATGATGGTAGCTTCTTATGTTTATGTTTCTAGGGTTTGGGGTCAGGGTCGTTGGGCAAGCTTCCACAGCAGCACAGCGCCTAGGGTTCAGGTTTTAATTGTTAGAGGATTCACAGTGTGCGGTTCCGGAATGTAGGGTTTAGGGCTCTATTAGGGTTATTAGGGGTTCACTTCCGAGCCTGTCCATTCTCAAGCGGCACGAAGCAAACTCGTTGTCGTCCACTCCGGCATCATCATAAACAAGCCATCCTGGCAGGTTCATTGGCACCGCCTTCGAGCTGGGTGGATTCTCCATCCTCACGATGATCATCTCCGAGGTCAGATCCTTTGCCTCCAGCTTCTCCTCGATTCGCCTTAGTTAACTGAAACACAAGGAGTGAATGATACTGCCGATGAACTCACTCCGCACAGAACTCTTGTTGATAGGTCGCTTCATCTCTCCACGCAGTCCATTCTTGACTTTGTCTGAGAGGAGGTGCGGCGCCATAACCACTGCCATGCTCGCGAGGGGTCTGCGGCTCAGGATATTCTTGATCTGGGTGGCAATGGTGTTTAAGTCCTTCAAGGACAATCGTCCGAGTTTCGTGAGATCGCACACCACGACCACTGGGGCATGGTCTGCAGAGCTTTTGCCGATGAACTTCAGGGAACACGCGCAATGCAAAGACGCACTCAAGGATATTGATTGACAAACGATTTGTTCAATCACGCAAACGCACGCAATGACTCAGGCCGGTGCTTGGTTCATTGCAGTCGCGATCTCAGCCTCCGTCCCAGTGACGTGCTTGCACCACCTGTCCATCGTGTTCTCGACAAGTGTAGCTCCCAAGGAATTCCTCAGCTTCAAAGATTTGGGACTATTAAGGGCTTGAGACTGTCAGGGTTGGGGTTCTCTTGGTTTTGATTTGGTGTTCTCAGGGGTCTGGGCTTGGGGTTGTAATGGGTTGTTCTCGTCAAACTGATTCCTCCACCCCCAGCCTGAGCAAACTGATGAATCAGTCCAGTCTCTGCAGCCTCAGGTGTGTAACTTTTTGAAGGTGCCGTGTTCGTTCACTCTTCTGGAAACTGCTGTACATCTTGCCAATCATCGCAACGTCAGAGGCTAGCTTGAGAGTATCCTGTTCCCAAGTCAATCGTTGCGTTTCGGCGGACATCTGGTTGAGGGCGTTCTCGGCATCGCCCATTGCGGAGTCGGAACGTAGGCTTGGGAGATTGTCTGCCCACATTGCCATGTGGTTCGGCTTGAACGCCTGGCACATGGCTTCCATGTGTGTGCCGGCTTCCTCGTGATAGTCCCTCAGGTGCAAGTTTTCAGAAATCGAATGACAATTTTCTGTTTGGTAGGTCATCATTGACTGTGAGCCCATTAAATTCTATTCTGACTTGTCGAATGCTGAGCCAAAGGGACCCCTCCAAGATTCTGCGATTCACATCCTCCAGCACCTCTTTGGAGAAAAGGCTATTCCCGGACGCATCGACAGCCTTAACCATGTGCTCATGCACGGTGCCCAACAAGGTCACGATCTCTACCTCGCGGTCCCACTTCTGGAGCGGCAACCTGCAGGACTGGGACTTGCTCGTCCTTTTTCGCAGGGTCCTTTCATGAACCTGTAGTAATCGCTGGAGAAAGAGTAGCTGGGTTGCCGGTGTGACCCGGAGCAGTGTGTACCAGGGCTCCTGAGCTCCACTGGAAGTACTGCCCAAGTACCATCTGGCGCTGAGGAGGGTGTCTTTGTGGAAGGCTGCAGGGATGCAAGATCACGCCCAAAACCAATAGATTTGAGGTCGTTCCTAGTCTTATTGTCATGTGACAGTCAAGGTTTGCAAACTCAACGGCCTGAGTCCTCCTGCTTGAACTTGTGAAGATGCCGTTCAATCAAGCTCCATCCTTCAGGACAAAGGCCCACCTCGAGCAGGCCGGGTGAACAGGTCATGTCAGCAGGTATTATTGTGTTGAACAATCGAGGCAGTAGGAATGCATACAAGCAGCTTTCAAGCCAAACATCGCATTGGCTGTGCCACTGTCAATCTGATACTTCGAGCTTGTTTTGGCAGCCCCGTAGTTGTTGTACTCGCTGATGGCCGCCAGGAAAGCCGTGTGGTATGCTTCCTTGCTGTCCTTCTTCGCTGCCCCGGCCGTGGCCTCGGCTTCAACGTCAATTTGAAAGCATTGAAATTGAATTGAATTGGTGGTGATCGGTGGTGGTGGTGGCGGTGATAATGGTGATGGTGGTGTTCTTGTTGTTGTTGTTGTTGTCGGTGGAGGTGGTGGTGGTGGTGGTGGTGGTGGTGGTGGTGGTGGTGGTGGTGGTGGTGGTGATTGAAGCCCTTATGCCTCGTAGGATGATTACTAACTTGCAGTCAAAAAGGCCGACATCCACCCATACCCAAACATGGAGGGTAACTTGCACGATACACAACAAGATACCAAGAGCAGGTTCCATATCAACTGAATAATATGTGCAGATTGATACTATGTTAATAATAGCCTACTGCCATGATTCTCTGGCTCTGACGGCATCAATACGGGTACTGACATCAGTTAATCCTAACAGTGACAGTGGGCTGGGGTGGGCAATCTGAGCTCCCACGCAACTGCGAACTGGCACATTGTCAGAATAACATCTCTTACACCTGTGCTAGAGTCTGCTATCGGTCCACACATTGCTGCCAATTATCTGCCAGAATGTCCTCAGCCCGAGCATGGAAGATCAAGCATTGCTGCAGCATGTTGCGCCTTTGCTTCTCCGTGGCCTGGATATTCAGCTGCAAGCGTCGCCAGTTGTACTCGTGCTCGGCCGCCTTGATGAACACTGTCGGAATCGCGATGGCGGTCCGGATCCACCTTTGAAACGATGTATTTCGAAGTCCATACAGTGTTTGTCAATCAACCATACAAATTTTGTTGTCTACGATTGTCATATTGCAGCAGGACGATGTCAGAACACGGAGTAGAGAAAGTTTATTTTGTTCGACACATCTGAAATTGCTTGCCAGGCCCAAGGCTCAAAACCAATGGGTCGTATGCGACTGTTACTGTTGGGTTTGTCTCATATCTCAATGTTCACCTCTCGCCTCTCACCTTGTTTCGTTGCTTTTCGAGCCCACCCCGAAACAGTGCGTTGCTAAAACGCGACACGGGAAGCACCAGGAAGATCTGAAGAATTGCCTTACCTGTTAAGATCAGTGCAAACCCCGGCCTCACCGGGACCCGGTGTTTGTAACTAATTGGTGGGTGGAGGGTTTGGTACTGGGTTTTGATTTGGAAACCCTCAAGGGAGGCCGGGGTCGAGGGTTTGGTACTAGGTTTTAATTTGGAAACCCTCAAGGGAGGCCGGGGTCGAGGGTTTGGTACTAGGTTTTAATTTGGAAACCCTCAAGGGAGGCCGGGGTCGAGGGTTTGGTACTAGGTTTTAATTTGGAAACCCTCAAGGGAAGCCGGGGTCGAGGGTTTGGTACTAGGTTTTAATTTGGAAACCCTCAAGGGAGGCCGGGGTCGAGGGTTTGGTACTAGGTTTTAATTTGGAAACCCTCAAGGGAAGCCCGGGTCGAGGGTTTGGTACTAGGTTTTAATTTGGAAACCCTCAAGGGAGGCCGGGGTCGAGGGTTTGGTACTAGGTTTTAATTTGGAAACCCTCAAGGGTCCAAGGGCCGCCCCTCGATGGTTTGGTCCAAACCATCAAGGAATCGAGGGTCGTCCCTCGATGGTTTGGTCCAAACCCTCAAGGAGCGAGGGCCGTCCCTCGATGGTTTGGTCCAAACCATCAAGGAATCGAGGGTCGTCCCTCGATGGTTTGGTCCAAACCCTCAAGGACGATGGTTTGGTCCAAACCAGGAAGGAATCGAGGGCCGTCCCTCGATGGTTTGGTCCAAACCATCAAGGAATCGAGGGTCGCCCCTCGATGGTTTGATCCAAACCATCAAGGAAACGAGGGTCGTCCCTCGATGATCAACCACTGAATGGTCATGGGCTCGACTTCCCAACATGGCAAGTTGAAAGGGTGATGGTTTGGACCAAACCATCACCTCCTGAAGCTTCTTATTCAGCACAAGGCATATTATAAATATATCCCCAAAGTGTGTGACCGATATTGACTGTGGGTGGATAAGAAGCTTCAGGAGGTGATGGTTTGGTCCAAACCATCACCCTTTCAACTTGTCATGTTGGGAAGTCGAAGCCATGACCATTCAGTGGTTGTGATCGTGTTGCCGCCACCAGGATCCTTGATGGTTTGGACCAAACCATCGAGGGACGACCCTCGATTCCTTGATGGTTTGGATCAAACCATCGAGGGGCGACCCTCGATTCCTTGATGGTTTGGACCAAACCATCGTCCTTGAGGGTTTGGACCAAACCATCGAGGGGCGACCCTCGATTCCTTGATGGTTTGGACCAAACCATCGAGGGACGGCCCTCGGTCCTTGAGGGTTTGGACCAAACCATCGAGGGACGACCCTCGATTCCTTGATGGTTTGGACCAAACCATCGAGGGGCGGCCCTTGGACCCTTGAGGGTTTCCAAATTAAAACCTAGTACCAAACCCTCGACCCGGCCTCCCTTGAGGGTTTCCAAATCAAAACCTAGAACCAAACCCTCGACCCGGGCCTCCCTTGAGGGTTTCCAAATTAAAACGTAGTACCAAACCCTCGACCCCGGCCTCCCTTGAGGGTTTCCAAATTAAAACCTAGTACCAAACCCTCGACCCGGGCTTCCCTTGAAGGTTTCCAAATTAAAACCTAGTACCAAACCCTCGACCCGGGCCTCCCTTGAGGGTTTCCAAATTAAAACCTAGTACCAAACCCTCGACCCCGGCCTCCCTTGAGGGTTTCCAAATTAAACCTAGTACCAAACCCTCGACCCCGGCCTCCCTTGAGGGTTTCCAAATTAAAACCTAGTACCAAACCCTCGACCCCGGCCTCCCTTGAGGGTTTCCCAATTAAAACCTAGTACCAAACCCTCGACCCCGGCCTCCCTTGAGGGTTTCCAAATTAAAACGTAGTACCAAACCCTCGACCCCGGCCTCCCTTGAGGGTTTCCAAATTAAAACCTAGTACCAAACCCTCGACCCGGGCTTCCCTTGAGGGTTTCCAAATTAAAACCTAGTACCAAACCCTCGACCCCGGCCTCCCTTGAGGGTTTCCAAATTAAAACCTAGTACCAAACCCTCGACCCCGGCCTCCCTTCCCTTGAGGGTTTCCAAATTAAAACCTAGTACCAAACCCTCGATCCCGGCCTCCCTTTGAAGGTTTTCGAAATTAAAGCGAATTACCGGCTTCAAGTGAGGGTTTATTACTGCCAAACCAGGAGCTGCTTTGGGATGATTTCCATCGACGCCCGTTTGTTTTTCAAAGTTTCCGTTCCAATTAGCAAGCCTTCGACATTTGCATACGTTCCAAGTTTTCCAATTAAAAACGAAGCCTCGGCCCCGGCTTCCGTTGCTGGGTTTCCCATCGCAAACCAACTCCCAAACTCCGACCCCGGCGCTTCCGTTCATGGTTTTCAAACCCTTGACCCCGGGCTTCATTGAAAGCTTTCGAATATTCAAGCTAATGGAAGCCCTAATGCTTTTCGAGTTTAATTTAAATTCCGCGATCACGTCTGCCTGGTTGTCTTGACATAGGGCCACCCTCGACCCCTGGGCTTTCATCTTAGACTTGAACCTAATGTTCGATCGAACCTAAGTCCATATTCAATCTTGATCCGGGCCCGTGAATTAAAGGGCTGCGTTCTGCGGCAGCCCCAAGCCCCCAAAACCTCGACACGAACAAACAGCTTCGAGTCGAGCCGGCTTTAAAGACTGCGTGGCATGCTGCACCCACCTGGTTTCGTTCGTTGAACTGCCAAAGTTCAGACTGAAATTGCGACAGCCTCAAAGAAGTCGTTTCAAAGTTGAGGTTTGCTTTTAATGTGTTTAAGCTCCCTAGTTCCACGTTTCCGTCAGGTTGTGGAACTGCCGAAGCAAACCTGCTGGCCTGCTGCCTCAACCTCAGGAATGCTCCTGTGGACGTGAATTTGTTCGGTTTTGGTCCGAAGCTCCCGATTGGGCGCAATCCTTTCTCAGGAGATCAGTGACATCATCGATTTTTACCCGTTCAACCCCATCTTGGTCAAGATTTCTGTTGCACCGATGTGACATTGTGATGGTCATGTGCATGCTGGTCATCATCACCATCATCCTCATCATCATCATCATCATACTCATGCCATCAACACCGTCATCGTCACCAGCCGTCTTGCAGTATGCCATGGTGTAGGGCGACAACACTTCTCCTGCTGTTGCAGGACCTGTTACAAGCCTCTGAGCTTGCCGTCGTAGTAGTAGTAGTAGTAGTAGTAGTAGTAGTAGTAGTAGTAGTAGTAGTAGTAGTAGTAGTAGTAGTAGTAGTTCAAGTAGAAGGAGAAGTAGAAGTACAAGTAGAAGTAAAAGAAGTAGCCGTAAATGGTCGCAGTCGAACCTACATTGTCTTGATACCCCTAAAACACTAACAAACCTTCTCAGCCCTGATCCCACCAAACCCCCGAAGCAGCGAAACCCTCAAATCCAAGAGGAATATGTCCGGTGGATGTCAGGCTGTGCCGAACTCAGTCATGGTAGGTAGCACTTTCAGGGGTCTAGTGGCTTCAGGCTTGGACATATCGGGGTCCCAGGGTGTTAGGGTTTGAAGGTGCTCTGTGTATTCGCTTTGGGGCCGTACAGTAGCAGATCTTCAGGTTTCAGGGTCGTGCGGTTTAGGTTGTGTAGGCATGAAGATTTAGAAGCAAAAAGCCGAGCATTGCTCTTATTTGGTTGTGTGAGGAGAGGCTTTAGGCTGTCCGGTTTTTTAGAGGTCGAGGGTCTGAGCCAAGGTTTATCGACCGCGAAGTTTCCGGGTATGAAACCCAGACCCACTTTCAAAACGCCTCGTTGCCTGTCACTGTGGTTCCGGATGATGAGCTCCCGAGGCCCAGCTTGAACGTTGTCCCAAGCACTAATAACTAGCTGTACTGTGCCAGAGCATCAGACCCGCCCGAAGCTCCCGGATCTCCGAACCAGCAGGACACCATCATCAGCAAATTTAAACTATTAGTAGGGTTTTCCAAATGTGGCGCCCTGCTGTCTCTCGATACCCTTAGCATAATAACGTTTAGAGGCCAAACTCCAAGTTGCAGTGAAACCCTAAAATCCAAAAGGAACCCGGCGGATGTCAGACGATGCTCGTACCGAACTCAATCATGGTAAGCAGCATTTTTGGGGGTCTCGTGGCTTCAGGCTTTGAAATATCGGAGTCTCAAGGTGGTAAGTGCACGTTCGAGATGAAACTGTTATGTAGGCATTAAGATGCAAGACGGAGCACTGCTTGAACTCCTTCTCTACATCGTCCGACCAGTGGGGCTTGCCATGCATCTCGGAATAGGAGTAGATGATGCCAAAGAGCAGCACGCTGATCCTGCCAAAGCCCTTGGCCGGGAGAACGCATCCCCAGCTCATAGGCTGGCCGAGGCTCGCATCTGACACAACCTTCAACTCGACCGTCTCTCTCCACGACTCATACCCATTCGTGTAGATAGATGTTGCATGGCCAACCCAATCCCCCAGGATCGGCCACCCATCAGTGGGCTTTTTATACCCAAAGGACAAGATCGGGGTTTGGAACACCGTCGATGTCTTGTCCGCCTAAGAGAATCTCGTGGCTGCAACAGAAAGCATAGTAACATGAACCAGTTAATGCGATGCTTGAACAAAAACTGTACGATGTCTTCAATGCCTAGAGGCAGGCATGTTGACACTGGATGGGTGCATGACCGCGCCGTCGGACATTTGCTGCAACCAGGTGTGCAAGGCATCGTAGTTCAGGGTCGCAAGCTTGGTGGCCACGTACTCACAAGGGTGCTCATCACGTTCTGGATCGAATGTCCTTTCGTCGCATTTCGTGCTTTATTTACACCATCATACTTGTATGTCTTTATTGCAAAATGCCGGCGCGATCAATGTACTTTTGCAGCCAGGAAGCTGAAGAGCTGTCAGCACTTCACCCGACCATGGCCCAGCCTGAATCTTGACTTTGGTCCCGCTGCCGCCTGAGGTCGGAGCTTTGCGCTTGGACATGGCTGCGAGGCCTCGAATTTGGATGGCCACTCTCGATCCTGATGTGAAAGTTTTCGCGGTTCGGTTTCATGTCAAGGTTTCAGGGCATTGCGTCAGTGCACAAGATCTCCAACTGCCAGCGAAGCAAGTAGTCAGAGAACATGCATAGCCACTGACTGTTTTCTGTTTCTGCGGAGGGAAGTTCATCAGAACAGCCTGCTAACCTAGTGCTAGTACTAATTGAAATCATGCTCAAAAAAGAGCCTGACATGCTTCATCTGTGCTCAAAGCACAGAATCCGTAAGCAGACTGCTCGACGTCAACGGAACGAGCTTCATGTTCGCTCGAGACCTAGAATGCAAGCGAGGCAGATAGCTCCCATCACGGGTACTGACATTGCATTTCCTGCCATTCTGATCATCTCAGTAGGTGGAACATCTCGCACATTCAACTTTGGGCTGCCACATGCACTGCTTTGGGAAGCAGTCATCGGAAGAAGATGGGTAGATAGCGCTTCCTCCGGGTGGAGGTATCTTTCAAGCACCTGAACACGAGCTGTCGCTCGTCACCCTTCCCCCCAAACCCGAAGCCCTGAACCCCAAACCCTCCACCCAGGCCCTAGGGGTGTCAGGCTTATTGAGATTTGTCTCTGACTCTACTGTACTGAATCTGAATTGGAAGCAAGACTCTCGAGAGTAAATCTTCCCCGAGTTCGTGGTCAACGTTTGCAGGGAATGGTCCACCGTTTCTCCTCGACCTCGCATCTTGGAGGCCGTCTGCTGCAAGTCGGGATACATCTTGTGCGGATAGAGCTCCTCATAGTCTGCCAGGTTGGCAGCCTTCAGCACATTTCATGGCTAGTCAATTTCAATGCCGACTTGGGTGATTCTCATCCTGAATGAAGAGACGGGAAGTAAATTTGAATATTTCCTAGTAGTAATAATGCGAAGGGGTAACGGGTGAGCCAAGGGTCGCAAGTAAGGATTTAACAATAACTTAAGAAAGTTGATAGCAAGTGTAAGACAAGCTGCATTTGGCCCAGATAGCCTGATGGGTGGAAGCTGCTTCCAAAAGTAGTCGCTGATGCTGAGGATTGGCTTCTGCCGTAACAAAGAAAGCATGCTGTGCAAGGAAGTTCCGTCCCTGAATTTCAAGGCTTTGCGCCGGTACGCAACTATGTACACACGTGCCCTTGCAGCCCTTTGGCCGAATGCTCTGGGGTCAACTTTTACGGACAACACCTTGTAGGTTGGGCCAAGGGCTTGTCTCACACACTCCACATTGTATTCGGGGACGTTTTCCACCAGGAGCAAGTCTGTTTTCAACCTCTTCTGCACATTGAAGTGCTCAGTGTGAGTTCCGAAAGCCCAATGCTCCTTTCCGGATCTCGCTCCCATAGCCGAGAACGGCGTACATGGGGGTCCTCTCAAGGGTGAAAGAGGTTTGCTTTGGATTTTATAAGTTTCAGACCTTAGGGTTCCCTAGGAGTCAGCGCAGAATAGTGGATTGTTGATAATTTCAGCCAACTTGCCTGATATGTTGACGGTGGTTCCTGGGCATTGATAGAAATGAAGTTGGCATTGAGCTCTGGGTCTTTGGGCTCGGGGCTTCCGGTTGAGGGCGAACTGAAAGTTTGTTTTGTGGTTACCAGGTTACCATCAGAATCATTGCTCCGCCCCATTGGCCCAACATTAGGTGCATCTAGGAAAATGTAGGTAAAGTAGGTAGAATCAGCACTGACCTATTGTGCCATGCTGTCCAGTAGCTCCAATGGACTAGACCTAGTAGGCCTTCATTGCAACGTATGATGTTCGGGAGCTTTGCACCCTGCTTATTGCGGATAAGCTTCGGTTGCCACTGCCTTTCCTGACTCGGCACATTTTGTTGTGCATCTTGCAAGTGGCCGTTCCATGTCCAAGCTCAAAGACATCTGTAAATGTGCAAGAGCCCGAGTAGGTTCCGCAAAGCACGTGCTGGCAGTTAGAGTTGTTGTCGCAATTCCATAAGAAGCGTGCAGGTGTGGAACGAAGCTTGCAGATCCGCGAGGCGCTCGTCGAGAGAGCCTTCAAAGCCTGACTCAGTGGATGGAGTGATATTGAATTCAGTGAATATACAATGTCAATCTAGCTGCAGGGAAAGGGCGAGTTCAATAATACTTTGTGGGGCATCGTATCATAGTTGGTTTGAGAATGGCCACTGCTACTACTTCTACTACTACTTGTACTACCACTACCGATACTTTCATTAACACATGATGAAGCATGACAGGAAACAGTCTCCGCACAACCCACACCTGAGAACGTAGTCGTCACGTCCCACTCCCACTGTCTCAGCCTGGCTTGCACCACAGGCTTGCCTAGGTGGTTCGATAAGATGTCCAGGAACTTGTCGCCCCACCCAAAAGCCTCCAGCAACGAACTTGGGCCCTCAGGGCACTCTGAATCCGCCGGCAGGATATCGGTCTTCGGGTACTTCTTCATGCCGTGCTGCTTCTTCCTCGGGTGCTGGTGCTCTGAGTCTTCAACAAGTAAGACTTTAACGAGGCTGGAATCCTTTGGTACACTCCTGTAGGCCATATGGTAATAGATTTAAGTTGGTTGTTCTGCAACGCCATGTTCAATCCAAGCCGGATCTTACATAGTAGTACGGGCTTTGGGGAAAAGGATCATGCATTCAAATTTACTAGACTACGGGCCACTGACAGGCGAGGCTCGACTTCAGGAACATTGGCTTCTGCACAGTCTTCGGGTTCTGGGCAGGTTTCTTTGTTGGCCGATTCTGGGACAGCTGCTGCACGGCTTGCTTCATAGAGAAATTGCGTCCCGGTGCTGATGAGCTCGCCGTGAGCTTGCCTCGAGGTTGACATTGAGCTTTGGGCTGCAGCATCATCTTCACTGCCTCCCCTATGGCCAGCCGGGGCCTGACAGGACTTTGCACGAGTTTCGAGTGGTTGTTGCATGTGGCTTGCACGGAGCCTCACAGCAGACTGAGAGCTTGCCATCGCTTAGAGGCCCAGAGAAAAGCCAGGTTGTAAATCCCTGTGATTGACATTAAGCATGAACTGCCTTTGGTTCCCCATACACTCTGAACTCGTGTTGATTGGTTGGCGTTGGGTCACTCTGAGATCTCATCAGATGAGCCAGGCAAGCCAGCGTTCAGTCATTCATCCTCACCGAAAGAGGCCCAAGGGTTTGGGGTTTACGAGTTTAGAGTCTGAACCCTTGCAAGAACGTGCAGTCTGAGTGTAACCTGCTTGATCCAAGAGCAGGGCCCACCACTTGAACGATGTGCAGCACGAGTGCCTGGCAGTGTAGGGGGCGTGAGAGCTAAAGAATAACTTGGTCAGTGCTTCCTGAAAACAGCACAGAGATGCCGATCTTGTTGGTAGCGCATGAGCTCCCCTTCATGCACACTTGGCGGTGACTCAGTCATTGGGTCTGATGATTCATCTGACCCGGGCTCGGAAGGTCAGAGCTGGCAACATTCTGCATAGGACGGGCAAGCTGCCAGCACACAAGTTCTCAAGCCTCAAGGCCTCCCTGTTGTCCTGTACATGCCATGGGAGCTGAGGAAGCGGGTGAAAATCGATACGCGAAGACAAATCTATCAGAAACTCAACACTGCGACGTGTCACCTCAGAATCTCCTTTCGAGAGAAGAAGCCTGGCCAGACGAAGGTATTCCTTAGCCTTCTCAGCCTTGGGCGGCTGCAATGCTCGAGGCAAGGATGGCAATCGACCGTTCAGTGTCAGGTTTTGAAGGTAGCTCGCGGGCATCGCCAGCGCAGGGGCCTGTGGAGCGAAGCTGCAAGTAAAGTAACAGCACAATGACACATCGTCATGATCTAGCAGTTAATGCAAGTGCACGGGGATGCCTGTGACAGCTCCTGGTCGGAGGCATAACGTTTCACGAACATCAGCACGTCTGCGGGATCAATCGCCAAGCGGTTCTTGGCTGGGCCGTCGACAACGATGTCAAGGTTGGACGGAGAATCTCAGCAGTTGCATGCTTACCAACAGTTACTCCTGCCATCATGTTGCAGCAGTAGAGAAAGACAGAACGACAGCCTGACTGATTGCTGCTGCAATGCTGATTCGTTTCATGAATGTAAAGGAATGCACTGCTCTCGCTTCCTTCATGCCTCCCGAGAAATGGACAGGGATAGTGTCCAGCCTGAGGCACGAAGATGGCGAGCACTGTAGTCGTAGTCGCAGTAGTAGCACTAGTAGTGTAGTAGTAGTAGTAGTAGTAGTAGTAGTAGTAGTAGTAGTAGTAGTAGTAGTAGTAGTAGTAGTAGCAGTAGTAAGAATGCTTAATTGCAATCAATGCCGGTAGTCTGCACTCGAAATAAGCGTTCTGGCAAGCAGCCAAGACTTCCAATCCCTGACAGTGCGAACGTATTGAACATGAATTTCTGCTTCTTTGCCAACCCACTCTTGCAACTTGATGCGTCGGCAAACTTCTCGCAGCTTCCTCAGGCATAATGATGACATACTAATTGATGTCGTTCTGTTCTTGCGGAAACACTGAGGTACAGGAACTAGGTAGCCCACTCACAGGCATCCTCAGGATCCGCAAGGACGTCGATGTAGCGGAATGAAGCCCGTAAAATACCGAAGATCTGGTCTCGGATTTGGCTGGGGTCCCAAAACTGCGCACTGAGACAGAGCTTGAACACGCAACAAATTATTTGTTATTTACAGTAGGGCTGATTTCCGGCACGGTTCCCACGCAACCATGCGTGTGTCCAACACGCTGCATTTGCAAAGAAGTGACTTTGAAACCGTGGCTGCCAGTGAGCATCGTCAGGTATTTGACGACAACGTTGTTTTTGTTTTCACGCCCGCAGTTGTCTGCCTCAGACGTTTGCAAGGGCAGTAGATATATGGGTGTCTGTTGAGGTCCTACTCTAATTCTTTTCTGGCCGGGTACCCAAACTATCAGTTGATCCGGGGATGGTGCTTGTAGCCGCTGGCATCTCATCATTGTGTGGTCAACGACACGGGAGAGGCACTCAACCACCATGCTGGAATCCGCGGCGATTCGCGGGTCGATCAAAAAAAAATGCAGACTGCTTTGGTGACTCCACACACACTGTAGCTTGAGTCTAGGTTTCTGGTACTTGATGAGCTCGTGCGAAAGTGGACCCCGCCGCTGCCTTGGCAATGCCCACTTCGCTTGATCCATCCCGTCCTGAATGAATGGTCAAGACAAGCTGAAATATGTCATGGATGAGAACGAACGAACCTCAGTTTCTCCAACACTGTCACTGTAACTAGGTTCGATACCATATGGATGGCGATAGCTCCATCTTTCACCGGCGACAATCCCTGCCACAGGGATGCAGCAGCCACGGGCTTAGGGCCGAAAGGGCTATTATTGTGCATCACTCCGCCCAAACCGCATGGATTTTAAACGTAACTGTAACTGCCAGGCTGGAGCCTGGCAATATTCTTCCCAGGAGCGGTCTCTGCCCACACTGGAAAGATGATCCCTGTACTCTTTGGCCAGTGCAAACTTCTCCAGGGGCGCCTCGGACTCACACAAAAAAGCATGTTAGCTCCATAGCAGCAAAATGAAAGGAACGCAGTGCATGTAAGGGGCAGCGCAAGTCCGCATCGCATCTTTGAAATCTGTGCACTGGGTGCATGCTGCATGGGATGACTCGCCCATGAATCTCAGAGTATTTCTCCACTTTGTATCGTACCTGTCCCAGAACTGTCTGTACCTTGCGTGGGTGTATGCACGTTTCGGCCGCCCATACTCTGTTGTAGATTTGCCCTCTGGACCCAAGACTAGGTACAAATAGAATCAGAATCATGACAGCGGTTTGATAATCATGGCAGACGAAACACGAAACGTTGCTCGCAGGGCCGCCAAACTGATACCATAACATTGTGATGTTGCCAGGAGCCAGCCATCTGGTGGGAAGGTTCGATATCTCGCGGCCATGTGAAGTCTCTATGTACCTCAGACTGAAAACGATATGTTTCAAAGACTTGTAGGGGAAGGGGGCATACCTGACTCATAATTCTAATCATGTTTATGGTTGTAAGCTGTAGGCATGTTGCTTTGTGTACATGCTTTTGTCACCAAGAACGAACAGCTTCAGTTCCTCATCGTCCTCCAAACTCTCGGCTGCTTGTTGGAATTCGTCGCTGGAATCCACATCGTCGTCGGGGCCTGGGGCCGAAGGCTTGCAAGACGTAACTGACAACTAGGACCCTCCCAGAATGCTGCCGGGCCACGCTCGTCTTCAGGGTCATGTGCACTGGTGCCCATTTGCACAGTAACACACGGAATCCTTGACTTTGATGCTGAATCTGATGATGTGCCTCGTTTGCGAGCTGCTCTCTGGAACCTGAGGGGAAAGGCATCAACTTGAAGTTTGTAATCTGGCAGGCTGGATCCTACTCACCTCAAGGTCAAGGCACTTGTCAGGCAGCATGCTACCAGATTTGATGTACTGTTCCATGAGAAAAGCATCGACCAAAGCAGATTTGGGTCCATAGCGGGCAGGTGCCTGCAACGGATGCAGCCAAGCACAAAATATTTTTTGGTTACTACAATGCTTGCAGTTGAGATACATAGCTCGCGAACCTTTTATCCACTTGTCCAGCAGCAAGCTCTTTCAATCGATGACGGCCGATTCCAAGCAGGCAAGTCAAGCACCGGACGGTCATTCGATGTTCCAGAAACCGCCAAACAGTGTTGGAACCAGGTCGATGCTCACGCGTCACTTGCATCAACTCGGGGGCAGGTTGAAGGGCATCAGGTCAGGTGTCGCACAAAATCATTACCACAGGAACAGACCAAGCTTGAACTTAACTAGTCGATGTGAAACCGGTTATCGACTGATTGCAGATAACTCTGCAAAGGTGCGAAGGCGTCTTGTTGTGTTTTCGTCATCTTCCAAAAAGCGGTCACGTACTCTATCACTTGGTTGCTGATGCTCCGAAATTGGGAGAAACATAAGCGAGATTCGCAGTGGCATGCTTTGCTGGCCAACAATGCAGAGATTCGGCTGGCGTCAAGCCCATTGTCCCGGAACCTTCGTGGTTAATTTTAGGGAAATCAGAATAATCAGAAGTCTAAGTGTGTGCTATCCCTTGGTTTCCACAAAGTTAAAGACTATTCTACAGAATCAGAAGCTTTGATTCGGCCTCGAAATGAAATCGGACTGGTTGCTGATTCTTCTCCTGGTTCTCTGCCTTCTCCACGGCTGCAGCAGCACGTTTCCGGTTGTCGTAGTTTGGACGGAGTCGTTTCTTTGGGGGTTTTGCTTCAGGTGCTGCTTGTGCAACGGTCGCTTGAAAACTTGACAACTCCTGCCAGCTGAAATGCACCTCCGCTGTGCCGACCGCCCCGTCCCTGCTCTCTGATGCTTCTGATTCTGCGGGACGAAGCAGGCTGGCAAAGAAGCGCCTACGCATTTCACATGACTCCGACTGTGAATCTGCCGCCGCTTGCCCGTGCCCGGATGAAACCAAAGACCGATAAAACCTCAGCTCAGCTATGACCCTTCCCGTGCTTGCAAAAAGGCAATGAATTCTGCACTGCAACATGCAGCCGGGATTCTGCACTCTGCTTTCCTTTGAACATGTCATTGCTCTGTCTCCCGCGCATCATGTCATGACAACAATGTCGCAATGCTTCGATGGCTGATTCGTCGTGTCAAGCTCGGTGACGACAGTTGCTTTCGATATTCCTACAACTTCGCCTGAGCTTCGAGTGCGAGTGCCCTTAAAACTGACTTACATTGTAGCGGATTTCTTCTACTTAACAGTGATGATGGATAAACCATGAATGAAATCAACCACATCGTACACTGAGCAGTGGCACACATTCAAGTCTCAAACTGTGCTGCGCAACTACAATGGCCAATGGCAAAGTAAAGCCTTGAATCTGAAAAGTGGTTACAGCAGCACCTTAAACCCTTAAACCCTGAAAACGCGAAGTTGAAGCCTTAAACCCTGCCCTAAAACCCTGAACCCCAAAGCCAGCTAAGCCTTCAAACCCTGTGCCTCGTAACCTCGCACCCTCCGAACCCTACCTGAAACCCTTAAAGCTCACACAGCCGCAGGGCCTTGAAGACCTGGCGGTCACACGCCTTGACCTTGGCACCGGTGACGTTTCTGGCTGTAGAGGGTTGGGGTTAAGGTCAACAATAAGGTATTATTCTAGATAGCTATCTATGGACTGTCTATGTATCTATCTATCTATGTGTCTATCTATCTATCTATCTAGGCCTATTACTATGTGGCCCGGCGCAACTTAACTTAGCTCGGTCGGCAGCATGCTTTCTGCTCGGCAGCATGCTTTCTGCTCGGTAAGCCGGCTCCCACGAGCCTTTCGCGAACTCCCCTTTCCGAAACGACGACTCCCACCCCTACCTTAGCGATCTCCCAAACCCTCTAAGACAACTCCCGGCCCTCAGAGACAACTCCCCCACACACACACACACAGTCACACACTTGAAAGTTTTGACACGCACCCTCGACAGTGCCGCTTCACACACTCGAACTCGAAAGTCCTGATTGAGATTGAGCCGAAAGACCTCTACTCTAGTCACCCGAAAAACCGAAACGAGGGGTTCGTCGTCTGAAGGTAGTGTCCAACTGTTTGAAAGCTTTCTTCGCTCTCCAAGGCCACTGCGTTTTCATCGGTTGAAGGCTATGCACCATCCTCGGCGAAGCTGCAGGGTTCGCTCGAGTTCTCTATGGGCCTAAGGTTTCGGATGGGGCAGGTATATCAAAAGGTGATACCAGCTTCTGGTCTTCGAACCCACTGAAAAGGCGGTGTCCCAAAACCATAAGAAGCTCTTGGCAGGCATGTCCGATAAAAGAATTGATTGCTGGGGGTCGCACAGTTAATCCGCTTCGTCGTGAAGCAGGGGGTCTAGCCTTGGCAATCAGC